ACCTCTTTCACATTCAGACGCGACGTTCCACTCACTACATCACCGGCTCTTGCGCTACACGCACCTTGCTGGAACACCTATATTTCTGTATGCATAGCATTTTCCATAAGCAGCCCGGACCATCTGGCTTCAACATCTTGTGCAGCACATCCTTTCAACAGCTGTCGGCTTTTCGTGGGTTTGCCGCGACTGAATCACTCTAAGCTTCAAGCGTAGCAAATGGCCAGCACACCGACTGCCGGTACGAAGATGCGTTTTTTGCATAGTTCCCCCATGGGTTTCTTACGCTAGCTTTCTTACGCTAACGGCACCGGCTTTTTCCGCAGATGCTCCTAGCTAAACGAATTGAAATTGGCCAAAAGGACTGTTAGGAAATATCCCCTTAAAACCGCAGCCTTCTAATTTTCCCGGTCCCCAATTAGCAAATTACCACAAAAAAAAAAAAAAATTCTTCGAGCCCACGCGTGGGAAACACGTATAACGCTCACTAAGACCTACGTGGACGAGAAACATTTCCTTAAAATTACAGCCTTCTAACATTCCTGGTTCCCAAGTTAGCAGCTAGTCCGTCAAAAACTTTGGCGGGCCTGTATGTGGGTACCACGCGGGTTTTGGCGCCAATTTTGGGGATGGAGGTCCGCACATGTATGTAGATTAAGTTCCCAAAGTTCCAGCCTTGTAGCTTTTGTGGGTTTCGAAATGAAAAATCGGTACAGACGAAAATACAGACACACACAGACAACACTTCGTCAATATGCGTTTTCTGCATTGCATAGCTGCAAAAAACGCATAAAAAGCATCAAAAGAGAAGTAGCTTTAGGCTCAGGTTAAAGAAGCTTTTCAGTAGGATCAATCGTAAGCTTTTCCAAATCATCTGATTGGCATAAGATATAATAAATTCATTATCATAATCATCACCTTTTGAGCGGTTATAAAATCTTCGGTAGAATTGTCATCATTTAGCATATCCATGTTTAGTTTGGAGAGCACTTGCGACAATTGCTTCATTGCATTATCCTGAGTCAGCTTGCCACATGTGTCCAGGAATGTTGCCGCACTATTGAACATACCGCTGAGGACGAATAGGATAATCTGGAAAACACTGGTAAAAACTTCACTGCATTTACCGGCTACACGCTTTTGAAAAAACGCTGAGAAAGCAACTGATCGGCGGAAAGTCTTGAAGTGGAATTATTAGGGCGAGATAAGTTCACAATCAAATGAAATGTTAAAAAAAACGATGACAATTTTGTCGATGACAATAAAAAAACATAACAGTGAAACGACATTACAGTTGCCTTTTACACTCACCCTCGTCTCCTTCCCCTCCTCTTTTTCTAACATATTCCTTTTAACATGGGAAATGGGCGCTGTACTGATGATTCCTACCCCATTTCGCACCGATTTTGCCGTTTGTTTTTTTTTCCACATATCACGGATGAAATACAGACAAGCCATCAAGTCACTGCACATACAGGCTTGCTTATTTGGGAGATCTAAATGGCAATTACTGTTTTCATTAATCAAAATTCGATTGTGTTCCTCTCCACGGTACGTCAATAACGCCAAACAAACTGCATATGCTAACAATTAGAAGATTTCAGGTTCTCGCCCTCTTTCACAAAAATTAGTAACAAGTATAAAAATTGCAAAGGCAAACGAAAATTGGTAAATCCAAATACTCTTAGTCGATAAAACACCAGATCGAGTCCTTGAAATTTTAAAAATACAAACAGTGAATATCCCTAGCTAAGAGTGTGGCAGAGGACGGTGGCCTGAAGTCTTCTACGTGTTAAAATATGCAGTTTGTTTGGTGCTATTGGCCCAGCGTGGAAAGAGATGAGGAAGCATGCCAAAAAACAAGGTCTCAGTATTGAAGCCCCACAAGGAGATGACGAATGTTCCACAAAACAAGGTCTTAACATCGAAGCCTCTTCTCTGTGTCAGCATATACAGTTTGTTTGGTGTTATTGGCTTAACGTGGAAGAAGATGACGAAATTTACCACAAAACAAAGTCTCGAGGCAAGGTCCAGAACGAGATGACGAAGCTCACCACAAAATATCGACTCAACACCGAAACCTCGTCCAATGCTTTTGTCAGAAAAACTGCTAAGCTGAGAATCTTTTAAGGAAAATAAACGAACGATGGAAACGCATAAGAGTGACTAAAAAATCGCACAACGTTGATCGAAGCAGCTGAAAAAGTCATCTGGTGACTTTTTTTTTTTTCATCAACGCTGTACAGATGAAAGCCCATACTATGAATAACAGCTGATCCGCGTGTTAAAATAAGTGCTGTAGAAATTTTAAAGACACAAACAGAGAATATCCTTAGCTAGGAGACTGGAAGAGGACCGGAGCCTGAAATCTTTTATGTATTAATATATGCAGTTTATCTGGCGCTATTGGCCCACCGTGGAGAGGGACACAATCAAACTTTGATAATTACTGAAAATACTGGAAATGCCAATAGATCATCCAAATAAGCAAGCCTTTATGTGCAGTGACCTGGTAGCCTGCCTGTGTTTCATCCCTGAGCTGTAAACAAAGTAAGTTTTGAAGAGGAAATATTTATAAAGATGTGAACTAAATGGATGAATAACTCTTTCAGCAGTTGTTGGTTTTAACTCATTCAAGAGTTGCCGGCTTTTCGCGGGTTTTCTGGGAAGGACAGGACAAGAAGGGACGGTAAATTGAAAGCAGAGGTTAAGACGCTTCGGTTTAAGTTGTGGAGGCTTCAACTCAGCGTAGCAAACGTGCCAAAACAAGTACAAAAGTCTCCAGCTGTACAGTTGGAGATCCAGATAATGAATCAGTACAGCACTGGCCTAACGTTTAACAAAGTTTCAGTACAATCGGGCAATTTTAAAATCAGATTGAGAGGTATGAAAGTGTCAGCGAAATATCTGAAATATAAAAAAATGACCTGTTTCCAGAAATGGCTTTTGTCGAGCAGCT